GGGGGGGGAAGGAGGGCACGCTGCCCTCACCTGCGCTAACTACTAGCGTGCCGTCCCCTTGGACCACAGCTCTACCCCAAATAGAACATGGGGTGGCAGGTGTTGCCTGTGCCCCCCTGCCATGATGTCTATACTATAGTCCCCCTACCCCATAGACTTACCTGCTGGGAGCTGCAAGAACTGCTCTCCATGCTGCCTGGCTGCCATGTGCATGTGTGCATGCATGTGGTACCCCCTACCTGGTCACCCTCCTCCGCTCCTCCCAGCCCCAAGCAGTCCCTCACAGGCTGGAACTCTGCCAGCCTGCAAGAGGAAACCCGCTGTTTCCCACGTTTCTCTCTTTTAACAGAGAAAATCCATTTTATGAAGTTTGTTTGAGACCCTTTCATATATTCCCGTGACCCACTTTTGGGTCGTGACCCACGGGTTAAGAAACGTGGATCTAATCCAACCCGCCCTGCCCAAGGCAGGATCATCCCTACCCAAACCATCCCATCCAAGCCCACTGCCTAACCTCCCAGCAAAGCTCCCATCAATGTGGACACAAGGCAAGACCTAAACCTGGAGCAGGGAAGCAGGGGGCACCGCAGCCCACGTCCTGCTGCATACAGGTTGCCAACACCCCCCAGGCCGCACCCCTCTGGCCACGGGATAAGCATCCTTCCTGACCCCAAGCGCGGAGGTGGGTGTGACCCTGCGCCTAGGGCAAGAGCCCGGAGCCAGAGGCTTGCGGCTCAAAGCCTCAGCAGGACAGGAGCATTGTCACAGCACAGGGCCCGCGCGAGGTCCTCCGGGCAAAACTCAGAAACCCCGAGAGGGATCAGGGACTCCCTCCCGACGCCTGGGGTCAGAGCGTAGCCACAACTCCGCCCTGCGCCTGCGCACTCTGCTCCAGCGCCGCCAGTCACTGAGAGCACCTGGAACGTACCACCTCGGGCGCGCACCTGGGAGGCGGGCACCTGGAACGTACCATCCCGGCGCGCACCTGGGAGGCGCAAACCTGGAACGTACCACCGGAGGCACGCACTTGGAACGTACCAACATTACCTGCAGCTCCCTGGCGCGTGGCAGGATCCGAGCCCGGGTAAGCATTAAGTCCTCCCCACACTTTCCCGCCCCGCCTCACGGAGGCGACACACACACACCTGGAACTCCAGCCCATAAATCACCGGCGCGTCGTCTTCCATAGCTCTGCCGCCTCTAACTATGAGTCCTCAGTCCCTGCTTGCAGGGTGTTTTGCTCCGGTGTTTTTTGACCCACGGTGGCTTCCGTCACTCACTCAATTTCCGGGTGAGGAGGTAGCGCATGCGCTGCGAGGGGTTTGTCCTGCGTCTGGCGCAGGCGTAGTGGTTGCCGGTGCCTGTCCAGGAAGAGGTTCGGGGTGCCGAGCCGGCAGCAGGTGGGGCCGAGGCAGCGGGTCAGGGGCCGTTTTGGGGGCCCCGCGCGGGAGCGGGGCAGGCGGGGGCGCGGCGCGGCGCTGCAGGCGGAGGAGCGCGTTGTACGCTCCCGGGAGTCGTTTGCTGCCGTTAGGCGGTGCACCCCGCTGTTGCCATGGCCACCGGAGCGACCGAGAGCCCCCGGGCCGGGCAGTCGTTGCGCGCGCAGCCGGCCGTGGTCGCGGGGAGCGGGACTTTCTGGGCCTCAGCACTGGGGCCCCCGCGGGATCGGGCGAGGGGCGGGTTTGGAGGTAGGGGATGAGGCTAAGAAAACCCTGGTCCTCGCATCCCAAGTGCGCTGTAGAACCAGGGTCTGCTGCAGCGCATGGTAGCGTTGCCAGGTCTTCAATATGAAATCATTGTATTGAAAGCTCTGAACTACCGTGTGTGCTGTACAGCTATCATACGCTGAAAAAAAATGCAAATAAGACTTTTTCTTATTTATATTCTATTGTCACTGTAAATCACCAGTGAGTGAGTGAGACCACGCATTGTCAAAGTTGAAGCATTTTTTTATTTTGAGTCGAGCAGTCCTAAGAAAGCACTGACAGCAAACCCAAAAAGTCAGTTAAGACTCTGTGTGAGTGATTTGGGCTTTGCATATGCTGCATCAATTAACCACCTAAAAAATTATCGCCTTTTTTGAACACTTTTACTATTATTGATTGTACGAGGGTTGAAATTATTGTACAAATACGATCACGATCGTACACCTGGCAACACAGGTGCATTGGCAAATGCCATGTACCAGACACGTGTCAGCTGCTTGGGTCGGGCGGGGGTTGTTGTTCCAGAGCGCTTGTAGCAGAGCCTGGGCATCCCTGCTTGCCCCACTTTACCTGTGGCAGGTCAGAGTGTTAATAATGATCTTTGTGGGGGGCAGCTGCAGTGGTTAAATAGAACTGCGTGGGTACGTATGCCATTGGCCTTGTGTCCTTACAGTGTTTTGTAACTCCACTGTTCATAATGGCAGAAAGTGGGTTTAAAACATTTTTGTGATCAAATGGATTTTTGTGATAAATTAATGTTCTAATAGTCAGATTACTGGATTTAGAAACTTTCATTCAGTCAATACTTTTGAGGTTCAGAATAGAAGTGTACTGTACTTGTTCAGCGAAACTAATTTCCTGCCTATTTTTCTTCTTTAGACGCAATGGAAAATAATGGAAGTAAGAATAAGAATGCTAAAAAGAGTGTTTCACATGAAGAGGATAGTGGGAATGAAGTTCAACAGGGAGCCCAGGAAGAACTTCTCTTTCATGAGGAAACCATTGATCTTGGTGGGGATGAATTTGAGTCTGAAGGGAATGAGACCATCTCAGAAGATTCCAATAACTTTTTAGATAAACTTAATGAACATATGATGGAGAGTGTTGTTATTTCAGATTCTCCAAACAATAGTGAAGATGACACTGGTGAACTTGGTTGCCTGCGGGAGATTGTAGAGCAAATGGAAGCCAAAAACATTCATGTAGCAGAGGAAGTGGATAAAGAAGTCCTGAGTAATGAGAGTGAAATGGAAGAAGAAGAAACACCCAAAGATGTTTCTGACATTGGAACAGATGATCAGGCATCTTTAAAGGAGGATTCAATTCAAGAAGCACCAAAAATTGGACAGAAAGTAGGAGACGAAGTTCCAACGGCCTCAACACCAAGTGATATTGATGAAAGTAAAACCGAAGAGCAAATATCATCACCACTTGCCAGCAGATCATCTCCTGACGCTGAGCCAATCCCTGTGTGCACCATTTTCAGTCAAGCAAGCCATGCTAATACTCAACTACAGTTGTTCCTACATGATGGCTTTGAGCCTCAGATGGTAAAGTCTCCTAGTTTTAGCAGTGTAAATGAGACTCCAGCGAAGTCTCAGCCACAGGTGGTTCAACCAAGTCCTAGTCTAAGCAAGTTTTTTGGTGATACTGTTAACACTAATACTCTAGCTTCTGATTTTTTTGATTCATTTACTACATCCGCTTTTATTTCTGTCAGTAATCCTAATGCAAGCTCTTCAGTACCAGAACAAATGTCATCTCTTTCTACAGTCGGAGATCGTTCACATGCCTCTGCTGACCCCATCTATGCAGGAGGAAATGAGAGATCTGAAGCAGGTGGCCCCCCAGCATCTTTAGAAATATCAGAGTCTCCCAAACCATTTTCCCAGATCCAAGCTGTTTTTTCTGGAAGTGATGACCCCTTTGCCACAGCCTTGAATATAAGTGAACTAGACAGAAGAAATGATGCCTGGCTTCCTAGTGACGAAACCAGAAATGTTTTAATCTCAGTAGCCACACAGCAGTACAGCACCGTGTTCATAGACAAAGAGAACCTCGCTATGCCTGGATTAAAATTTGACAATATCCAGGTAAGAGTCAATGGTTACATTCTACTTTTTGTAATCTAAACTTCAAATAAGGTAGCACATCCAGTGGTCTGTCCATCTTTTTACAATCTTGTTTTGTGGCTTCAGCTCATTTCTGCTTTCATCTAATGTGTACTATTGCAGTCCTAATTAGAGAATTGATGACTGAGCAATTGTTCATGTAAGGACAAAAAAACCCCCAAAACAAAACAAAAAAAACCCTCATTCACTACTAGCAAATAGAAAACTTCTCTGAACATGTATGGCAAATGATGTCATTGGCTTATATAACAGACCAACTTTCATTTAAATATAGTTTCTACTTCTTACGGCTGCAGAGGTAAGATTCCAAATGTGAACTAACATGCTGAAGCAGAGCACCATCATATGTAGTTGAAGGCAGATGTCAGCTTCTGTTTGTAGAACTCATAGATACAATGCAGTGAAAAATAAGTAGCTTTGTCATTTCTCACAGCTGATATTCAGAATGCTGTAGACAGTACAGAAAATGACAAGAGTTGGATCACTTTCATTCTGCTGTTGCTTAAGAAAACTACGACCAGCAGCAAAGCAGACTTCAATGCCTTTTCTCAGGTAGAATGACCCAAAAATGGAGGCTGGGAGAAAAAGAGAATAATGGAAACCCATTCTCTACTCCATAGCTAGCAGCTTTACATGGGTAGGGACCTACCCAAATTGAGGAGGCAGGAGGCTGATTTTGTGGGCAGGTTGTTGGGGCCAGCTCCCACTTTCATGCGCTTACGCATGTGCCTCTGATTGCCTGAGGGGCCTCAGTAGCCCCACACCTCGCTGGAGCTTTGTTGAGAGGCCTGTCTGTCATGTGGCTTTGCTGCTAATAGGTGGAGAGATGTAGAGCTGCACAACAGGCAGCTCTCTCAGCCAATCAGCAATGGGTGGGGTAGCCATCTTGGCTGCTTCCCTTTGAGCTGACGGCTCCCGTACTCCCTGCAGGCTGCGTAGCTGGACTACAGCAACCATGAGGAGTGCTGGCTCCCACTGCAGAGTCAGCATTTTATTTTTAGTAAGGTGTTTTTTGTTCTGGGTTTGTTTTGTTTTTTTTCCCCCATGGATTTTTGCAGACACTACCTAATTTCATGGACAATGCCCAATTTTGCAGTTTCCGTGGAATCACAAATTAAGTAGGTACCTACACATGAAGAAGTAATATCCATCTTTCCAGAGCTTAGATAAAAGTAAAGCAGGACATAAGAATAACTGTGGTTTCAATCTTGATATCCTTCCCTGTTTTTAGCAGCTGAACTAAGACTAAACTTATTGTCAGAGTTTTATCGTGGAACTCACAGTGAAGGTTCTTTAGCTAGCTTTCATATCTGCATCTCTGGCTATTAGGTATCAGAGAGATTTTCTTCAAGCCTTAATATAAGCAGTAGTGAAATAAGGAATGGCACTTGAGGAAGAGGATTGAGAAAAGTATTTTATCTAGTCTCCATTAGGAAAATTTCCCTGGGGAGCCGGATCCCAGACCAGCAATAAAATAAAGCGGAGTTTTTTGCATCTATTATGGGAACAATAAACCGTGTGTGTGATCTAAAGAAGTCCATCTTGTGCGGGCCGGCTCCCGGTCCCGTCCTCGCCGGGCGCGAGCCGGGCCC